TTGTTTTTATGTGGTGCTGGGGATTGAACCCAGGGCCTTGCCCATGCTAGACGAGCATTCTATCGCTGAGCCACAACCCCAGCTCCCAGCCCTATTATTTATATTTAATATTAATAGTTATTAATAAATGAGTGTTTCACTTACAGATTAATGGGCAAAAGAATGGTGAGGAAAGGATGAATGATGGAAATGTGTAGTGGAGAGATAGAAGTGAAAATAGTTGACGGATGCTTATGTATATATAATTAATATGAGAATATAACATAAGGATAATAGAAAAATACATGGAAGGATGATGGATGGGTGAATTACTAGGTGGTTGGATGATTGGTGGGGGATGAATGACTAGATGAACAAGTGGACTGGCAGATGAATAATGGACATAATGGTAGAATGAGTGTGTATGTAGATGGATGCGTGGATAATGGTTGGATAGGTACTRGAAACATGGCAGATGGTAATGCTAGTTGGTGGATGGATGGAAGTGGAGAATGCATCTATGTAATGGTGGTTGATTAAGTGATGATGAATAGGTCAACTGTAGATTGACAGATGGAGGATGGAGTGATATGGGTGCTGACTGAATGGATTGATGAGTACTGAATGAATCTATAGACTGTGGATGTATTRCAGATAATAGATGGTGGTAGATGCTTACTGGATGGATTAATCATGAAAGTATATATGGATAATGGGTGGTGAATAATGGTAAGTGGACAATATTTACCATAGAGAATGGATGGATGGTAGATCAATGTTAATGGATGTAGAATTGATGGCTGGATCATGAGTGATAGATGTCAGATGGAGGTGGGATGATGGCTGTATGGTGCCTGTACAGAGAATACATGCAACATATAAATGAAGCACTGTTATGGTTTGGTTAGTGTCCCCTCAAAACTCTTGTTAATGCAGGGATATTCAGAGGTCAAATGATTGGATAGTGAAAGCTATAACCTAATTATTCCACTCTAGTTTGAATGAACTGATTGGGTGGTAACTGTAGGCAGGTGGGGTTTGGCTGGAGGAGGTGGGTCACTGGTGTGTGCCCTGGAAGAGTTGTTCTTTCTGGGATCCCTTCCTACCATGAGCTGAGCAGTTTTCCTCCACTGGGTCCTTTCCCAATGGTGTGCTGTCTCACCTTGAGCCCAGAGCATTATAGACAGCCACCTATAAACTGAGACCTCTGAAACCAAGAGTCCCAAATAAATTTTTCCCCTACTAAGTTGTTCCTCTCAGGTGTTTTGGTCATGGTGATGAAAAGCTAACTAAAAAAGCACCAAATAAATAAATGAATGATTGCCACTTAGATGATACTGGGTTGTGTATCATCGTCCTTGGAGGTGTAAGTGGAAGATGGATGACGGATATGTAATGAATGGATAGACTCTGACTAGGCAGATGATAATTAGATGCTGAAAGGATAGATGGTTTTTAAAATAGTAAATGGTTACATCTTAGAAAATGGATGCATGAAAGGTGAATGGTGGGTGGTTAGATAGTGGAGAGATGTTGAATGAAAGGTGGTGAATGGTATATGGTAAATGAATGGTTTAATGGACAGATAGACAGATAGCAAATAGTTAGTGAATGGATGACCAACAATGATGAATACTGAATGGATAGTGAATAATAGATGGGGGACAATACATGGATGGATGGTGAATGGATTATATGGTGGATGGATGATGGTCAAGGAATGCTCACTGCTGTTTCTTGACTGTAACCAACACCTACAACAATGCCTGTCACATAGATGACACTCAGTACTTTTTTTTTAGRATGGGTGCATATAAAATTGATGGTAGATGATACTTGGAAGGTTTTTTTTTAAACTCATCAATTTTTAAATTTTTTTTGTTGTTGATGGACTTTTATTTATTTATATGTGTTGCTAAAAATTGAACCCAGTGCCTCATATATGCTAGGCAAGTGCTCTATCACTGAGCTACAACCCTAGCCCTTGGATGGATTTTGAATGAATAGTGAATTGTAGTTTTATAATGGATAGATGGAGGATATCTAGTGACAGATATTGAATAGGTATATATGAGCTGGATGGCAATAAGAGATGGTGCAGGGTGTGTCATTGGTGGATGGATGGATGGTGGATTGTATAGTTCATAGAAATATTAATAGATGGCAGATGCTAAATGATTGATGACTGCATTATTGATGGATGAATTGTGGCTGATTGGATGAAAGCCAATAGATGACTCKGGATATATGAATAATAACTAGAGAGTAGATTGATGATTGACAGATAAATGGTAGATGGATCCACAAAATGTGGATGGAAAGACAATTGTTAAACATTTGATGGAAAGCTGCTACACAGTGGGTGATRACTGGATAAACAGTGGATGAAGCTTGGTAAATGAATATTGTTGGATTGATGAGTATTTTCTTGGTTTATTGGCACTTGGCAAATTGTGGGTGTGGGTTTTGTGTGGATGAATGCATAGTGGATGGATTCTGGTTGGACAGCATGTAGTGACAGAGATTGAGGGTTAATGGATATTGGTTGTTGGATGATAGCTGGTGGTAGATAGTGGATGGATATTGGATCCTGGATGATGACTGAATGGTGGATGGTGAATGGATGGATGGTAGTTGGAGGGTGGAAGGCAGATGGTGGACAGTGGGTAGGAAGGATGCTGGGTTATTTATTGATAGTGAATGATAGTAGATAATTGATAGTTGCTTTGCTCCAGGGTTGCTTTGCTCCTTTTGGAGGAAATGAGACGGAATTAAGGGGAGAGGGCCTGTGGATTGATCTCCCCACTTTGGGTTTTCAGTGCCCTTTTCACTTCTCTCTTCTGTTGTTCCAAAGGAAGGGAGTCCTCTTCCTATTTCTGGCGCCACCTAATTCTGCACCCAAGTGGCTAGGGTCAGGTTCTCAGGGAACGGATTGGGGAGAATGAGGCCGAAGTTAGAAGGGGCAGGAAAGGAGCCCTGAGGGGCGGCCACGCCCCACTAGCAGAAGGCGGGAGTGTGAACCMGAGGCCGGGAGAGCTGGCGCGTGTGGGCGGAGAGTGCGGGGGAGGGCGGGACTCCGGGAGGAGAGCCCCAGGACCGCGAGCGCAGCGCCTGGCGAGCGGAGGTCCGGGCGCGAGCACCCAGCGCAGGCGGTGAGTGTGCGTGAGGCGCAGGGGCGCCCCCTCCCCACCTTTTCTGGGCGTGCGCCCAAGTGAGCCCTGGCGGCCGGCGCGGGTGGGTGGGAGAGGAGAAGGGGGTTGAGCAGGAGCTCAGGGTGGAAAGGTAGGCTTGGGTCTCTGGATCATCCTTGGAGATGGGACACTGGGATCTGGGCAAGAGCAGAACCTCTGGCGGTTGTGCAGGTGGGTACCTGGCCCTCTACACCTGGGAGCCCYTGGAGATGTGGACCGGTGCTCGCAGTGCCGCCTGCCCACGTTGGTACTGGACCCTAGCAGGAGAGGAGCAGCCCTTGGGCACCGGCCCACTCTGACTTGTTCCCTGTGACAGCTCTATCATCTCTCCGTTCTCATTCCTAGCTGATGCCCTCTCTGGTCTCTCTCCAGCTCCTTCTCCTTGCCTTGGTCTCTGTGGCCAGTAGTTTCCCTGCCTTGCCCTTCTCTGGGCTCTGTCCTGGCTTCTGTGGACTCTATTAGAGATTCCCAGGCCCTGGGATGAGATCCAGGAAGGGGCTCAATGGAGGGCCAGACCTGGGACCGTGGGTCATGGAGGCATGCCATGGGTTCTGGGACTGGGGAGCCTCTCCMGTAGACATGGACTGGCTGCTCGTTGCTTGGGGATGTCCCCCAACAGTGTGTGCCCCTCTCCTTCCTGGGCATCTGTGGGACCTGAGCTGACCTGAACTGCGTGTTTGGGGAAGGAAACCTCACTTTCCAGAATAGCAGCCCCTGCCCTTGCTGGGTGCCCACAGCGCCTCATTCTCAGCCAGCAGGATGTCACAGGCATTCTATTCTGCTGGTCACTGCTCTCCCTGGGTCCAGTCTTCTTCTAGCTCTTATGCCTCTTGCCTGTGGCCCCCTGCTGCCATCCAGAATCAGGCCTCTAACTGCCAAAACCCACCCCCATTTCTGCCTCTGGCCTGGACATATCCCCACCTGRCCACCCTGCAGGTGAAGAGGCAGTTGGTCTTCTTTTTCCAGAGYCCTTGGAGCTCACTTGCCCTATGCCCCACCTGGGTGGGCATGGCCACGTGTAGGCAGGATATCATTTCCCCTCTGATGGTGGGAGCTAAGGGCATAACTGGATATGTGAAGTGTAAGAAGAAACTGGGGGGGGGGGGCTGGGGAATGTGGCTCAAGTGGTTCACCTAGCATTCGTGAGGCACTGGGTTCAATTCTCAAATAAAATAAAAGATAAAAATAAAATAAAAGATATTGTGTCCATCTAAAACTAAAATAAGGGGCTGGGGATGTGGCTCAAGCGGTAGCGCGCTCGCCTAGCGTGTATGCGGCCCGGGTTCGATCCTCAGCACCACATACCAACAAAGATGTTGTGTCCGCCGAGAACTAAGAAAAAATAAATAAATGTTAAAAAAAATAAAACTAAAATAATAATAATAATAACTAAAAGACACGAAGCCCAGCCTTTGCTACTCCAGGTCCCTGGCTCAGAAAACCACTTGGGTCCCCCAGGTCCTCTGTGCCCTCCCCTGGCTGTTCTCTGCTTCAGAACACAGGTCTCTCCTCCCAGATGACCTGGTTGTCTCCTACTCATCCCTCAGGCCAGCAGACCTTCTTCCAGGGGACCTTCCTGGGCTTTGAGGCTAGTTCAGTCTCTTCCCTTCCTACTTGTGCCTCTCTGCAGCCTTAGGCACTGTGTGGCAGCTGTCCAGTGGCCCCCTGGGTGGGGGCTCAGCAGGGAGAAGCATGATAAAGATCCTATAGGAGTCACTGGGCCAGGCAGGGTAGGGTGGGGGGGGGGAGGGCAGTCTAAAGGCTTTTGGGAGGAGGGGGTATCCAGCTTCAGCCACAGTGGACACCTCATTCCTGCCCCTCTTTGTGCAGCCTGTCAAGGCAGCAGCATGAGCACCTCCCAGCCCACCTTGTCAGAGCTAAGCCCTGTTGAGGGAACCGGCGGCCCAGAAGGGAAGGTAAGTGGTTGAGGTGTGGGGTGAGGGGACAGAAGATAGTCAGCCTCAAGCACTGGCTCATGACTTGGGCAGGCCTCTCTTCACTGCTGGCCTCAGTTTACCCATCAGGTGGGGGAGGTCGTTGCTTTTTTTATTGAAGTCTGGTACAGAAAGCAATTGAAGGTGAGCCATCCTGACTTACTTAGCACCCCTATGCATTTGGGAACACCAGGACTTGTTCCCCAAGATTAAGAGCATACTCTATTCTCTGTTGGGTGACGCAATACCAAGGGCCTGCCTTCAACTTGTTTCTGGGAGTGGACCATAGAGGCAGCAAAGACCTGACTGAGGTCTCTGCCCAGAGGAAGCAGCCTGGGTGCTTTGGGTTCCTTCCAGTGCTGGGCCAGGAGCCCTGGAGCCAGCAGAGAGCAGCCCAGAGTCCCACAGGGCCATCCTGGAATCTGGGGCCACCTCACAGCTGTCCTGCAAACTCTGCCAGTCTGGGCCCCTGCTAAGAGCCATAGCCAAGTAAAAATGATTCCTGTTTGAGTGGCTCGTGATTTTGTGCCCAGCCAGACTGCAGCAGGCCCCCTTCAACAGAGTGAGGACACTGAGCAGAGTAGTCCCCTGGTTGGCGGTGGGGCAGGAAGGAAGATGGCATGTGGGGAGGGAGACAGGATGGGAAAGAAGCCCTGAACTGACAGTGCAAGAGGCAGGGCAGGGGCCCTTCTCTGCTGTCCTTTGAAGTCTATCTGCTCTTTCATTCTACAGAAGGCCCAACCTGGTGATGCCTGTTCTCAAAACTCAGGGTCACCTGAAGTACTTGGTTAAGAGAGGGTCCTAAAAAAAAATCAAGTCATTCCTCTCTTTTGGTGGAATGAAACTGACCAAATTATGCTAAATATACCAGAGTGGGAAAAATAACAGAGGGTCCAATGTGCACTGAAGTCCACTGCCAGGTGATTCTGCAGTTGTTTAAGGACTGTTTAGCAAAGTTCCACCTGCTGTGTTCCTGCCCTTCCTTAGGGCACATGTACCATTGTGGGACAGAGGACCTGCACCAAGCAGCTGTCCTCTTAGATGGAAAAGATGGGGCGTGGGGAGCTCCAGAAAGAGGGAACCTGACTAAGCCAGGGCAAGAAGTGGGACAGCACAGGCAGGTCCAGGCCGCTGGGGTGCTGAGAGATGGAGGTGTGTGAGGTAGTACTGTGGCCTCCACCTTGCAAGGTCTTGAATGGGAGGTGGAGAAGCTGAGGGCACCCAAAGGGCTGGTGTGGGCACTGAACAATGAGCTGAGAGCCAGAGCTCAGGTTGTCATGGCAACATCTTCCCAGTTCCTCTGAATGGAAGGAGGAGGCCAATGTCCCAGCAGGGAAGACCCCAGGAAAGGGTTGTTCAGGCTCCAGGTACAGGAGCAGCGGGGGTACACATCACTCCTGGAGTAACCCTGGCCTCTCCAGCCTCAGGCTCCTGTCTGTGAAATAAGCTTCTGAGAATGAGTCATGTATGTTCTATGGTGGCTCAGGGAGAGCTGTGACCCCAGCAGCCAAGTGCGCCCCTCCCTGGTGGTGGGATGGGGGGGCAGACCCATCTTGGGGATACCCATGTGTGTGCATGCATATTCATGCTCACGCCTGCCTGGAACTCCTAATGGGGCAGAGGGCAGGGGAGGAGTGAGGGGGCAGGGAGCCCAGGGCCTGGTATTGCCCTGACTCCTGTCAACTTTCTCTGCAGGCAGTGGGGAGTGCCCGGGAGAAGGGCCCTCGGCTGGGCCCGCGGCTGCCCTCAATCGTGGTGGAGCCCAGTGAGGCAGGTGCTGTGGAAAGTGGGGAGCTGCGCTGGCCCCCAGAGGGCACCCAGAGGGGTGCCCTTCCGAGCCAGGTTGATGCTGCTGGTGAGTGAGGCTACCTGTGGGGGTGCTGAGAGGAAAAGATGGACACTGTCTCCCAGGTCCAAAGCAGGGCCTCATTCCGGCCCATTCTTGAAAGAGGTGCTGAATCCCTTGAGCGTGCTCAYATCCACCCGACCTGCTTCCAGCCTGTGTCCATCCAGGTTCCTAGGTGCCACCTAGCCTTGTCTCCCCCTTATCACCCTCCTCTCTCTCACCTGCAACTAAGGTCCCCTCACCCACCCTTGTGGCCCCAGGTCTGGCACCTGGAAGGTACACAGTCAGCATTTGGTGAGTGAATGACTGCACATTCTCACCCCTCCCCACCAACCCTCCCTCTCTTTTCCTTCCCTCCCTCATTGATTCAAGACCTTTGGAACACTGCACATTGCCCACTAGAGTCTGGAGGAGTCAGGGTAAATACAAGAGCACACTTGGGGACATGGTCAGCCCAATGGCCAGTTCCTGTCCTGGCAGCAGATGCCCTGTGCAAAGGCTGGAGCTTCTGGAGGACCCTGGGCCAGGCCCAGGGCCAGGCCCAGGGCAAAGGATGGCAGCAGGCTGGGCAGTGGAGAGTCACTGGGGATGGCTCTGAAGCCACTGGTGTTGGGGAGGGGACACGAAGACTGAGCTGTGTCCTCAGAAGTTTTGTACCTGAAACCCCCTAGGGTCTAGCCCCTAGTGAGAAAATGAACTCAGCCCCAGCCAGGGATGCTGGGCCTCCTGCCTGCCCTCTGTCTATCTGCAGACCTTAGCCCCTGGGCAGGAGTCCTTGTGGTCAGCAACACCCTGTAGCTTAGGCCCAGAAGGCGTCCATGCCTATAATCTCCCCTGCTCAAAGCTTCTCACCCTTTGTCAGTTTCTGCCCAGGACCCAGGACAGCATCAGGGACTGCCTCTTGGGTAACCACTGGGATTAAGGTCCTGGAAAGGTCCCAGGTGTGCCCTGGACTACCCTTCACTGCCACCCCTTTTCTCTGATACATAGGGGAGGGGAGGAGTGCTCCTGCTCTTAGAGCAAGTTTTCCTCCCTCCCTAGAACTAGCATATCCCTCCTTCTCACCCCTGGGGAAGAAGTGGCTTGCCCTGGCCCAGGTGCCTGCCAAAGGCTGGCCTCAGACCTGTGGGATCCATCCAGGCTGGAGCCGTCCACCAACATGGAGGCCCTTCTATTTTTGCAGCCCCCTCCCGAAGTCTACAAGGAGCATCAGGGAAGGCGGTGGATGATGTTGGCAGTGAGTGTGCCAGCTCCATGGACCAGGCACCTCTGGCCCAGTGACAGAGAAAGACGTGGAGGGGCTCTGCTCTGACTGCTGAAAGGGCCTCAGTCCCAGGGTGGCTGGGCTACTGCACAGAGAGGGCTTGTCTTGCCCAGACACCCAGTTGGCAGAGCTTCCTGTCTCACCAGGACCTCAGCCCCTGYCTTTTCCCTCCAAGGCCCGGGTCTGGACCACATCCTCCTTGTTCAGAGGTTTGGATCAGAAATAAAGGCACTTCCTGGTCACCAGTGGGCACACTTGGTGGAGATTCAAGGGACTGAGGACAATTTTGGTTCTACTCGTGGCCTTCCAGACTGTCCTTAGAACCCAGGCTGACCAAGCCAGAGTGCCAGGTGGGTGGCCACTTCGAGGTTTGGCACTGGGGTGGGGATGGAGAGTGACTGACTGGGTGGGGTGGGAACACTGCAGGATGGGGCTGTCAGGTGCTGTAGTGTTTACCCTTCTGCTGCCCCTGCCTAGGGACCCCCTCCCTACTGTGCCTCAGCCTAGGCTACTTAAGGAAGCACCAGCCTCTTCTACATGGCCTTCCTCTTCTACACTCCTCCTTGGGCCTTAATGGTTTGATTCCTGAACCTGTCAACCCCCCCTTAATCTGGGTGCAGTAGGGCACAGGGTTAAGTGTCCTATACCAAATTGAATCTTATTAACTCCTTAAAAAATCCCATTTTACAAATGAGGAAACTAAGATGCAAAGTRAGATGCTCAATGCCAGTTTGGGGTCTTTGAAGGGACCTTTTAGGCTAGGAGGCCACCGAGCTGATAACAGAGCCCACACAGGAGGTTACATGGGCAGGCACCTTTTCCTTCTCCATGTGAGTGTCTCTTCCCTCCAGCAGGTCCATGACAAAGTCTCTGGGCACTGTGCCATCCCTGGGGTGGGCAGGGGGGCTGCTGCCTGGTCAGGGCAGGCTGGTATGGCAGAAAGCTGCCCTGCCCAGGGCCAACTCCCTTGTTTCCCCCCCCCCCCCACCGTGGGCTGTCCTCCCAGGTTCCCAGCTGGCCTCCTGCCCTTGGCGGGCCTGAGCCAGACCTGAGGAAGTTCAGGGCCAGGCAGAGGGGAGCCTCCTTGAATGTTAGCTCCACGAAGTCCACAGGCGCCAGTGGGTAGGCCAGTACCCTTTCCAGCTGCAGGGTAGGTGGACACCCAGGGCCCTCTGTTCTCTCCTAGTCCCAGTGCTGACTTCCAGGACCGAGGCGCACTTCCTCCACAGGCCTTCCTTCTTAAAATAGCCCACCCCCAAAAGGGGAGAGGTGTGCSGGGCGCGTTTGGGGGGAGGAGGCAGCGTTCTCCCGTGAGCCTGCTCTGATATTAAACACGTGAGGCCAATTTGGGCCCAGGATGTCCCCATGGGCCCTTCTCACGTCCTTCAGGATCCTCCCTGTCCCCCGCCCTCCCCGTGGGGTCAGGAGCCCGGGACAGAGACCGGGGAGCCACAGCCTGGACCTGGTGGGGGCGCTGGAGCGGGAAGTATTGCGACACCCGGGCTGTGGGGTGAGGGAGCCCGGCAGGCAGAGCGCCGGCCAGGCGACGGTGCCGTTTACTAAGCTTGAACCCGCACCGCTCGGCTCGGAGGCAGGGACTGTTGCAGCCGTGTAAACACGACCTGCCCACGTCCCCGCAGCGGTCAGACCGCGGGGCTCCGACGGAACGCCAGGTCGACCGAGAGGCCCCCACGACACCACTCTGCAGCTCACCGTCTACCAGGGCACTCCGAGGCCCCAGCACGCGCMGCGCGAGCCAGGGTGCGGGGTCCCAGCGTGCGAGGCCCCAAACTGACCACGGCCCTCGCGCGGAGCGCAGCGGACACGGGCGGGGAGGAGCCAGAGGCTGCCCCACCCCTCCCGTGGTCCCGTCCCCAGCGCGAGGCCACGCAGTATCATTCTGTGGCTCCCCCTGGCGGTCACCAGGGCCACTGCACCGTGCGTTCTGAGGTGGGCGCCCAATGCTCTGCAATGTTGGCAGGATGGATGGAGACTCAGAGCAGGCACTACCCCTGCCATGCCCTGCAGCCRGTGGAGGAGTGGAAGATAAAACCAGGGGCTCCTGACCTCAGATCGGGCTCCACCCTGGACCCAGAACAGTGTAGGCGGTTTGACGCCTCTGGCATCTGAATTCTGCTGTCACTGCCTGACTCCAAAAGAACCCTAGGACAGGCAGGCAGCTGGTGGTGAGGGTCCTTCTCCTCACCCTCCCCTACCCAGGAGCCAGGTCCTCAACCGAGGTGAGTCCCTTCGGTCCCCCCAATAACTCCACTTTATGGAGTAGTAAACCGAGGCTCAGGAAGTGTTCTGTGCATGGCCCCAGCCATGCTTCTCCCTCTCAATTGCTCCCTGCTCTGTCTTCTGTCCCCTGCCAGGCCAGTCCTGTGCCCCAGCCTCCCCTGAGACAAGGCAGGGACTTTTCTACAGGGATTTTACTGGGAAAGTTAGAGGGAAAAAAACCATGGAAACAGAATAAAAGAACAACCACAAGTTGGAAAGTGGACCCAGGCCTGGGGTGTCACTGGGAGCTTGAGAGCAGGCCCCAGGCCCTGGGCACCACCAGCTGTTCAGGCCCCTAAGACTCGAGTGAAGATGACCCATAATTGGAGGTCCAAGGACCCTGATATAACCTGGCTGCACTCATCTTGGGCCCCTACCCCCACCCCTCTCTTTTGGTACAGGGGATTGAACCCAAGGGCATTAACCACTGATTCACATCCCCAGCTCTTTTTTATATTTTATTTAGAAACAGGGTCTCTCTGAGTTGTTCAGGGCCTCAATAAGTTGCTTAGGCTGGCTTTGAACTTGAGATCCTTCTGCCTCAGCCTCCCGAGTTGCTGGGATTACAGGTGTGAGTCACTGCTCCCGGCTCTTGCCCTGTGTCTTGAGTTGTGCTAATTCCTTCTCATCTCTCATTTCCTCTAACTGTTGGGGACCAGAGGGCAAGCCAGGCAGAGCTGGGAGCACAGGACCACAAGCCTGCTGTGTTCCTTGGAGGCTGGAACTGCGACTCTTCCCACTCCATAGAGGGGACCCAGGGCTCAGGAGCTAGGTTAGCAAGATGCCTATCTGAAGGAGTGCTGGTGTCTTTGGATCTGAAACGGCCTGTCTGCAGATGCCTGGGCAGCATCCTGGGTACCTTCCAGTTTGCTATGGACTGAATATTGTCCCCCCAATTTCATATGTTGAAATCTTAATCCCAGAACATCAGAATGCGACCTTATTTGGAAATGGGCTCTTTAAGAAAGTAAATAATTAAAATGAGGTCATTAGATTGGGCTCTCATCCAATAGAAAAAGGAAATTGACACAGACATGCACAGAGTGAAAACCAGGTAAAGGTGCTGGGAGAAGGCGGCCACCTACAGACCTTCGAGGGGAGAAACCAGCCCTGCTGCATCTTGGCCTTATCCCTGGTCTGCAGAGCTGTGAGAGAATAAACTGTTTAAGCCCCCCAGTCTGTGGTGCTTTGCATGGTGACCCTGGGACACTAACACACTCAGCATCCTGCCTGGGGCAGCTAGCTGGTTCCAGTCCAGAGTGGGACAGGCCAGAATCTGTCCTCCTTGGATTTTCCCTGACTTTCTTTCTGAGGACGCTTGCTTGGAATCCCCCTGGGAAGGGGTGGGGGCTTCCTCCTCCAGGAGGGCTCTGTGACCCTCCCCACAAAATGCCTTCGACCTGACTTGATGTGGAGGAGTGGGGCCCTTGTCCCTTGGCATCAGGCTCAGCCACACCTCTGCAGTTGTACTGCCCCCGGCCCAGACACTGCCCCTCCTCACTCCTCAGGAATGGAGGGGACAACTACTCCATGGGTGTCCCTGTGAGTGCACTTTTTTCTCTCATCCTGGGTTGGGGATAGAACCCAGGGACTCCCTAACCTAGCCAGGCAAAAGTTTCTGCTCTGGCTTTCAACCACAGCAGGGTGCAAGGGGCCTTGGGATGAATTTGATGGATAGTCCTGGTGCTGGAGCCCCTTCCCTCAAGGTAGTGTCCCCTGAGTCAATGCCTCTGCCCCTGGCCTCTGGCCACAGAAGGGGTTGGTAGCAGTCCCTGCTAACATTCACCCCCACTGCCTCAGTCCAGGTCCCAAGAATGGTCCTCTCTCCCTTCTCTCTAGAGGCCTCTGGCCTCTGCTTCAGTTTGCCAGGGGGATCAAAGGTTGGAATGATTGCCTCTGGAAAAGGGCAGGACTCTTTTGAAAGTGAAAGTATGGGGTCTGGGTTGAGGATGGGGTGGGGTGGGGGTGGGGCCCAGTGGGCCTGGGCGGTGCTGACCGCCCAGCTGTTGGTCACTCGGGCTGTTTTGGAGGTCTCAGGCCTGGACCCGACTCTCTCTCACTCAGTCGGCTTTTTCCAGGGCACCCTCTGCCTGGGCTCAGTGTCTGCTCCCTCAGGTATGTCCTGGTTAGGTGGGGCAGAAGGGCGGACGGGAGCTGCAGATAGCTGGCAGGGACTCAAGGGACTGAAACCACTGCAGCTCTGCTAGTGGCCTTCCAGCCCARGCTGGCTGGGCCACAGTGCCCGCTCAGCCACAGGGACTCATCCRCCCTCATACCCAGGCAGTCACACACACAAGCAGAAAGCACGGAGACACATGCACAAGACATGAAGGTGTTCATGAAGATGCAGACAGACACAGGTGGACCCTGGAGAAAGCCCTCTGGAGCCCCCTGAGGCACACMCCTACTGAACAGTCACACACAGGAGACAGGCCCACATGCAGACATGCAAAGCTCACATACACTAAGCGTGGACATATCCCCAGACTCACACCATACCTTAGATCCGCTTATCCATTTTCCCTGGGCACCTGCCCTGTATCGGCCCTGGCTGGGGGCTGGGTCAGGTCCATTCCCTGCTCCGCAGGCTCCTGGTCACAGGCAGAGACATCCCAGACTATGTTCCTGCCCCTTAATCATGGAGATAGTGTGGCCAGGGCTGGGACTGGACCCACAACAGGAGGTGCTGACTGTGTCCTGGGGCTCCTCAGAGGAGGAGCCTCTTCTGCTAAGCCTGAAGGAGCAGGCAGCTGGAGAAAGTGTGGCCGAGGTCACAAGCCTGTGCAAAGGTGTGGAGGAGTGGTGAGTGCTTCTGGGGTCAGAGTGGTGACAGGGAGGGGCAGAGCACAAGGGGCAGTTAGGAAGGGCCTCCGATGCCAAGCTAAGGAGGAGGTTGTTCTTCAGGGTGATGGCAGCCTGGGAGTGTTCTGGTTTTTGGCTACTGTGAAGGGGGCCTTTTTGTCCCCACCCCCAGCCCAGTACTAGAGATTAAACCCTGGCATTCTGCCACTGAGCTATACCCCCAGCCCTTTTTATTCTATTTTATTTTATTTTTTAATTTTGAGACAGAGTTAAACCGAGTTGCCCAGGGCGGCCTCAAACTTGTGATTCTTCCTCAAGTCACGGGAAAAACAGACTTTTTTTTTTTTTGGATGAACACAACACATTTATTTATTTATTTATTTATTTATTTTATTTAGTTCTGAGAATTGAACCCAGTGCCTCATATGTGTGAGAAAAGTGCTCTACCACTGAGCTATAACCCCAGCCTGGAAAAAAAGACTTTCAAGTGCTTTTTTTTCTTTTCTTTTTCTTTTTGATACTGGGGATTGAACTCAAGGATGCTCTACCACTGAGCTACATTCCTGGTCCTTTATATTTTTTATTTTGAGTCAGGGTCTCACCAAGTTGTTTAGGGTCTCATTAAACTACTAAGGCTGGCCTCCATCTTGCAAACCCTTTTGCCTCAGCCTCCTTGAGTCCCTGGGATTATAGATGTATGCCACTGTGCCTGGCTTTAAGTGACTTTTTTGGGGAGTACTAGGAATTGTACCTAGGGGCATTTTACCACTGAGCCACATCCCTAGCCCTTTTTATTTTTTATTTTGAGACAGGGTCTTGCTAAATTGCTGAGGGCCTGGCTAGATTACTGAGGGTGGCTTTGAATTTGTGATCCTCTAGCCTCAGCCTTCCGAGTCCCTCGGATTACAGGTGTGTGCCACTGCACTTGGCTCAAATGACTTTCTTAAAGTGTGTTTTTCTAATAGGCTTTGCTGGGTGTAGGAGAGCTACTGATTGTATTTCCAAAATCAATCCATGAAACTTACCCACCAAACTCTTCTGTTAGCTCTCATTATTTTCAGTCTCAGATTTTCTAAGCCGATAATCACATCACCAGTGAATGACAGTTTTATCTGTTTCTCCTAGTATTTATAGTTATTATTTATTTTTTCTTGCCTTTTTGCCCGAATTAGTTCTTCTAGGCAAACAATTTAGAATATTAAYGAGAACAGACATCCTTGTTCTTTCCCATGTTCTCAGACTTCCATCTTGCAAGGAAAGCTTTCTAGGCAGGTTGGGGTTTCAGCAAGGCCTCCCTCTGCTCCAGGAAGCCAAGGAGTTCAGGACGGAGAGCGATTAGGAGGCTGTGATCAGGTGGAGGGGGATGGCAGGTGGGAATTGGGGGGCACTTCTGGCCCAGGTCACAGTGGCCATTTCTGAGCTTTAAAGGATGTGATGGCCCTTCCCAGGGTGGGTGGGGAAAAGAGGGCTCAGTGAGCACTGAGGGGTGACTGAGGACCAGAGCTGCTGTAGAGGGAAGGTCTAGAAGAGAGGCTGAGGTTAGGGAGGGAGGGAAAGCACAGACTTGAATTCTCAGTTACAACCCGGTGACCAGGGTGGGAGTTCCCATGATTGTTCTTCTGTGTGACTTTAGTCCCCTGCCACTGGCCCTGCAACAGATGTGGCAGCCTGACCTAGAGAGTGTGTGGTTCAGGGCCCAGGGCTCAGGCTGGCCTGGGTCTGAAGGACCTTAGAACTCAGCCAGTGCGGATCCGTCAGGGATCTAGGGCACAGAAGTTGGGCCTCCCTGGATGCTCAGCGCAGTACGGACAGGGAAACAGGAGAGTCAGAGAGAGCCCCCATGGCCATGTTGTGCAGGCTCAGGGGAGAGGCCCAGCTAGAGTGGGGGTGGGGGCCCACAGGTCAGCCCAGAGGGCAGCAGGGTGGCACCTGGCCAGACCAGCCTAGGGTTGAGGGGGCACCCCTTACACTGAATGGTTCACTCTTTTTCTAGACTGTGCTCTGGGGTGGTAGGGAAGGGGAGATGGACAGAGAGTGCAGGTCAGGAAGGAGGGCCACGTCACTGCAGGGACAGTCCTGAGTGCCCACTGGGCAGTCAGATGGTGAAGACACATCACACAGCACTGTTGGAGGAGTCTTGGAGGTGGGGGTGCCCTCAGCTCCTRAAACTCAGGTCAGAATTGGCGGACAGAGGAAGGGAGGTTAGGGGGACGAGCCTGAGGGACAGCCTGGAGGCTGACATTCAGGGAGACAGAAGGGAGGCCTATAAGACTGGATGGGCTGGAGCCAGAGAAGGTTCAGTCCAGAAAAGTCTCAGGGTTGGCTTGAGGGCACTAAGTTGGCTTAAAGTGAGGAATGATCCCTTTGGACTGGGAGGGTCAAGAATTTTGGGGGAAGCTGCTGGGAGCTTCAGGGTCCCTGGTGCTGTGGTTGCAGGCTGAGGGGCCCTCTGGGGCTCTGGTTTGGGACAGGAGTGCTTGAGCAGGCTGAGGGAGCCCCAAGCCTCTGCCTGTTGACCTCCCTTGAGATCCACCTGCTCAGCTGTCCCACCTTCCCTAAAATCCATCCCTGGGCTCCCTAGGAGAGAACTGCTAAGTCTGATCTCTCTCAGGACACCCCTGTCCTCTATGGGGTCCTCTGTCAGAGAGCTCCGTGGGCAGAACCCTGAGGTCCTGGTGCTGCAGGRTGAGGACAGCAGAGCCTCTGCTCCCTGTTTCCAGGCAGGCCTGGCTCAGCCCTGGCTCTCTCACCCCTGAGCTGATGGCTTAAGGCAAGAGCCAGCTGTGGGCCTCAGGCTCCTCTCTTGTGACGTGAGGCAAATGAGTCCAGCAGCCTTGTTGTCTTGGGGACCTGATCTGTGTCAGGCATTGGGCTGTGTCAGTTTGAGCTGTAACTGGCTCTTTTGTGCTTTTGCTCTGTGGGCACCAGTCCYCCAAGCCAGGTACTGAGGGGACCCAGGAAGAGGAGAGGGGAGGTTGGTTAGATCCTTGCCATGTGTGGATTAAGTCTGAGTGGGGCAGGGTCCCTGAACCCTGGCTCCAGAGGAGGATGGTGACCTGTGGCCGGGGTGGGGCCGATAAGGTCCCCATCAATCACCTATGTCTGTTTTCCTCAACTGGGCCTTCTTCCAGCTGCCCAGTGGCCTCTGGATCCTGGAGGAAGGTAGGTGTCAGCTGGCCCTGAACAGAAACCTTGCTGGAGGGCATAGGGGTGGGTGAGGGTCAGAGCGAACTGAGGCCCAAGGAGGGGCAGTTTTAGCCTGGTGCCACCCAGAGGTCTTGTGCTGGCTCCAGCCGGGGCTTTGCTTGGTGCCTGGGGTGATGGGTAGCCCTTGGGAGGAGCTGTGGGCTCTGCCTCTGTTGGGCTGCAACTTCAGTACATCCATCCAGCCCTTCTTTTGGCCTCAGTTTCTCCAAGGATAAAGTGATACCTTACTAGCCCAAACCCTCCCCCACCCTGCCCCATTGCACAACAGGGTAGGTGGAAGGTCCCAGCCTGCTCCTGCCGCCTGCCTGCTGGAGAGCTAGCTCCCTCTACTCTCCCACCCCCAACTTAGCCTAAAGCCAGAAAAGCAAACATCCTGGCTAGGTTCAGGCTGAAAGGGGATGTGGTAGAGCCTTGCAGAGGGTGGTATGTGTGCCCCATACCATTGGAACCCTCACCTCACTCTCTGTGGTGGAGATGGGGAAGGGGAGTGGGTCGTACAGTGGGTGGGAAACAATATGGAAACCCTCTCCACCCCCTGTTAAATATAAACCCGAGGCCCCTCCTACCATCCTTCCCTTTAGGCTGTGTGGTCTCGATAAGCAGCAGGGTGGCTTAAGCCAGTGCCCTCAAGCCCCACAGCAGCTCCCTCCAGCTCAGAAGAAAAAGGCATAGACTCCCGTGGGGGTCCCTACCTCATCTTTAAGCAGAAGCAGTCTGGATTTTCAGGTGGAAGGGGTTAGGCAGTAAAGGGGCTGGTGGAGGGAGGGAGAGGGGGATTTGGGGTCTCCGAACCTACAGTACCAAAGTCCCAGATGTGGTTGCTGGGCCCTGCCCTTCTGTGGGCTGTGGAATGGACTAGGCCCCAGAATCKGCATGTTCCACCCCATCCCCCCAATTCTGGTGGGAAGGGCTGGTCTGGAAGGCTGAATTGCTGTTGGGCATGGGGGTAGGCATTTTGTGGAGTGGTGGCAGGGAAAGCTTCCTAGTGGCCTGCTAGATAGTCTGGCAGTAGCCCAGGTAGTTGCCTGCTGACACTTCCTTTTGGACAGACTGAGGGTTGCTGCTTCCAGGAAGGTTGACAGGGGCCCTGGGTCTGGTCAAGTCCCATGGGGCTCCCAAGGGTTCTGTGTCTGTTTCCTGAGGCTGGGRACCCTGCGGGCCTCCTGAATCTCCTTCTTATCCCCAGTTCTCCTGCTGCCAAGATGCTGTCACCACGGACAGTGACCCCTGGGCCAGAGCTGCAGAGCCCCAAGGAGCCTGAGCTGAAAACCCAGACCCCAGCTCAGGGTACTGGGCAGATCAGCAGTGGAAAGGAGCCCAACGCCCACCAGGAGGATACCACAAGGCCAGGCCTGGACACCCTGAAGCGGGCCTTCTCCTGGGCAAGCCAGAAGGCCTCTCAGGCTTCCAAGGAGGACCCAGGCCGGCTCAAGCGAAGCTCCCGCTCCCTGTTCCGGTCTCTCCGGCGAACTCCGGATGAAGGTCTAGCTGCTGGCCACTCCCAGGGGGCTGCTATGGCAAAGGAGCCCTGTGTGTTCACAGATGGTGTCAGCCAGCAGGCATCCACCCGGGTGGGGCCTGGAGACCTGGAACCTGAGGCAGGTGAGGGCCTCACTGACAACACTGAGCAAGAGAGGAAACTGAGCCGGAGGAGGCAGCTGCTGAGCCAGGGCTTCCAACAGCCTCTGGTTGAGGCCCAGCTCCCTCAAACCCTGCCTTCTGCACAACCWCACTTCAGGTTCTTAACAGTGTCTTAGGTGAAGCCCCCACTAGGCAAATGAGAAAAGTGAGGCTCACTTTAAGTGGCTTCCTTCCAGCCACACAGCTGGAGAAGCAGAGAAATGAGATTTGAACCAGGATTTGCATGACTACAGAAGCCTCTGCACAGATGTTCACAGCCTGGTTCCTGGTCAAACCAGGGCACCCACCCTTTCTGATTAGGGAGTCACAGAGGGTGTAGAGGAGGCTCTGGGACTGCCCAGAGGAGGACAAATTGGACCCTGAAGGAAGGATGCAGGTAGAAGAGGGCTCCTGGGTGTGGGGCTGACAGGGAGCCAAGCAGCCAGAAACATTGACTCTAGATGCTGGGGCAGAAGCCTGGGCATTACAGGACACATGCGGCCAGAGATCTGACCTATTACACTTGCCATCTGAGCTGCACATGAGGCCACTAGGGCTAGCTCCACAGAGCAAGGAGGAAGGTATGAACTGCAAGTGGGGAGAGCAGAGACTGGTCCAAATTGCTCTTTTCAGCCAGGCTTGGGTCTCCGGTCCTATTTCTACCAATGTGATTATGAGCAAGGGCTCCTGGCAGGTGAGGCTGCCTGTGAAGGTTTTCAGCTGGGCCCAGGGCATTCGAGGGAGGGACTGGGCTGCCCTGGGCAGGATTTGACAGGGACCTCCAGGTCTCAGTTCAGCCCAGGGTCCCGGGGTGGTTCATCTCACTACCCCTCTTGTCATCTGCCCTTACAGAAGGCAAATCTGTGGCTGACCTCATCACTGAGCGGCAGCTGCTAGCTGCTTTCGAACAGCTCCGGTACCTGGAGACAAAGCTAGTAACAGAGAAAGCCTCTCGCACCTTTGAGCAGGACCCCACCGCCTTTGCGCGGCGCGCCATGGACGTGTGCCTACATTACGATGGGCTGGCGGCGGAGATTGGCGCCATTGTGCGCGAGACATTGGGTCCCGAAGGCATAGACCAGGCCGCGCTTGTTGAAGTGGCCCGGCTGGTGCGCGCAGAAGAGGAGGCCCACCCGGAGCTCCCAGCCGACGGCGACTTCCTGCGCACACCCCGCCACTGGCGCCAGCACTGGGAGGACGCGGTGCGGCGCAGCGCGCAGGAGCGAGTGCAGCGGTCAGACGCCGGGCTGACTTCTGAGCCTGACAAGGGCGCTTCAGACCTAGCCCAGCTTCTGGCAGAGCTTGGTGGCTTGGTTCGACGCGATCTGCAGAAGGTGCGGCTGGTGGTGCAACCGGCTTACGCGGCCGCCGGCTTCCCAGCATGGGAAACCTACCTCCGCGCATTCCACAGCGCGGTGGCCCAGCGCCTGCAGGAGCTCGCGCAAGCCGCCCWCGGCTGTGAGCAGCTCTACCTTCTGCTGGACTGGGCAGCCAATGTCTATGGCAGGTGAGGCCAGAGCCACTGCGCCACAGGGCGAGAAAGGACTCAACTGGAGGCCTTGGGAAACTTGCCCCGGGTTCCTTTCTTCTTCATTCCCTCCCTGGGAGAGAGCTGGTGAAACCCTCCCTGTCCCTCACAGGGACTTTGGCATTCTTTCCTTCCTGTTAGGCTGTGACTCCCACCCCAGCCTTTCCTAGGGACCCACTCCTGAGCAGCTTCCTGAAGCTGGAAAGTCTCCGTGGAGAGATTCCCATGGGAGCAGGGAGCCCAGTTAGAGGACTTATGCTAGTGCACAAGGTGCCTGTGTGTACCTTAGAGAAAGGCACTTCTCCAGGCAGGACACCCCTGTGGGTTCACAGCGCTCAGTGTAGGCTGACCCCCACTTTCCCCATCAGATGGGAACCCAAGTGCAGGGTACAACCTGTTGAGGGTTCCACCTCTAGCTCTGAGATGTGATGGGGGTGGATTACCTCTCAGAACCAATGGTGCCCAGCATCAGAGGCAGGGATGCCTGGGGAAGAAGGCTGCCTGAAAATCCTGGGTTCCTTAAATTGCTGTATTGACCTCAGGCTGGTACCAGCCCCTCTCTGGTGTGGGTTGGATGGAGATGGGTCCCTGAGCTGTACTCTGTGTGTGTGTTGCTTAGAGTCTTGGGTGTAGGCCAACCATGAGGGTAGAGGTCACCACTGAGGCAGCCTGGCAGAGGTCCATTTGGACATCTCTTTTCAGAGCAGGCACAGCTGCGGGAATGCCAGGAAATCCAGCAGTCAGAAGCTTCCGGGGGAGGGAGGTAGTGGCATGCACCCCTAGAGGGCAGGGGTGGTGGATGGGGATGGAATGTGTGAACAGAAATCCAAGCTCAGGGCCCTGCGCAATACCTTTAGACTGTGAGCCTATTGTAAGGGGGGACTCCCTGCAGCATTGGAGCCCAACCCAGGCCAGCACCCCCACTTCGCGGTTTTCCAGCCCTGACTTCCTGGGCGCCCCGGACCTGGCACTGCTCACGGAACCGCTGCCCCCACTCCTAGCGCCTGACGTGTGGGCTCGACTGGAGAGCGACTACACCAGTTTCTTGGAGGTAATGCCAGTCGGGCCTGGATCCAGGGGCAGAATCCTGGGGGAGGGTGGTCCCAGGAGGGCGCAAGAGGGGTTCTGGAGGCGGGTGGGGGGTGGGGGACAGAACCCCCTCCTGGAAGGGTCTCATCGTAGCCTTATCCTTCTCCCCAAAGACCAAGATCGCAAGCTGCTTCGAGGGCATCCTGCAGCTGGAGCAGAATCGCTGGGCAGCCGGGGAAGCCCCTGAGGTGCTTCAGGGCCTCTACCGTGCATCCCTGTCCATTGATGTCCACATGGTGGGCCTGGGAGGAGACGGGGGTGGGGGGAGGCGGGCAGTGAGGGGGGGAGTCGGGGGGAGGGGCTTGTGTTCAGACCTTAGGCCCGAGGTGGGACCCCAGAGCTATCATATCCAGTGCTAACCATTCCTGCCTATTAAAGGGAGCCTGAGGCCTCCGGTGGGGTGGGACCAGGGACCCCTGGGGCACATGGCTAGGCTGGGGTACAGCTCCTGATTGACTGGTGGACCACGTGTGGGGAGTTGACCTTCAGGTTGGGCCCTGCTTAAAGCTGGAGCCGTCCTGTAATCCCAGTGGCTCAAGAGCTGAAGCAGGAGGATTGCAAGTTCAAGGCCAGACTCAGCAATTTAACGAGGACAAAAGCAACTTAGTGAGACCGTTTCAAAATAAAAAATAAAAAGGCCTGGGATGTGGATCAGTGGTTAAGGACCCCTGGGTTTAACCTCCGGTATATAAAAAAAAAAAAGCTGGAACCGTGACTGTGAGGCAGAGCGGGGTGGGCTGGAGACATCATAGGGCCATAAGCATTCGGGCATCCGGGTTGGGGCCCCGACCGCGCTCAACTCAGCGTGGCTCGCAGCTGGTGGCGGAGCATGTGAAAGCGGCCGGCGCTATCTCCGCGGAGCTAGAAGCCACCACCCTGCGGATCTGCGCGCGGGCGCTGCGCCTGTTCCTGCCCAGGTGCGTGCGCGTCCTCGGCCAGAGTCGGGTAGATGGAATGGTGGGGCCAGGAGTGGGCGGTGTCCACCCTGTGGACTCAGGATGCAAGAGTCCAGTGGGAGGGAGAGACCTTCATCTCAGTTCTTGAAGTTTGGGCGGGGGCCCGAGGTCATAGAGCAGCCGGGAGTGATCCCCAAGGCCTCTGCGTACCCTGCCCCCAGGTTTGAAAAGTCTTTTCTGGAGTCGGAGGCGGTGAGCGAGCCGTACCTGGGCGCCTACATTAACGCCTGCGAGGAGCTGAGGTAGGTCTCTCTAGCTCTTCCGCAGGAGCACTGCCCAGCGTGGCCAGCAGGAGGCGCGCGAGCTTTGGAAACCTTCCGGGAGGCCGCGGCGGCCTCTGTGCCCGCGAGTGATGGAGAGAGGAGCTGGGACCCGGCGTGGAGGGCGCTCCCGGAGTGTGAATTCCAGCAGGCTCTTAAGACCTCCAGGGACCGACGCTCTCCGCCCGGCTCCTGCCATGCTGACTTCATTCAGCCCAGCCGAGCTGGGGCCCTGAGAGGGATGCGGGAGGGCTTAGCGCTGATCAGTGGCCAAGGAGGCCCACTGCCCTAGTCGCAGGGCTGGTTTTTCTCCCTTCGTCCCAGCCAGACTTCTTCCTTTGGGGGTGCACCCCCTCCTCAGAGAAGCCCTCCCTGACACTCCACCCTGGGCTGTGCTGTGTGGGGTCTGGGCCCCTCTGATCCCAGCAGGGGAAAGCCCTCCCTGGGGGATGGGCAGACTGCTTCTGTGCCTCCAATTCCACTGTGCCTTGGTGTCCTCCCACTGCAGAAGGCAGACTCTGGGCCACCTGTCGGATCCCAGTCTGTCGCTGGCTAGCTGTGCACCTCTTTCCTCATCTAGGGTGGGACCAGAGCATCTGCTCTCTAGAGCTGTGGGAACTCCGCCTTCTTGTGGACACTTGAGATGTGCCAGTCATGTGTGTGCTCTACCCACCTAATGCCATTCTTCCAGAGGGTCTTGAACCCACCTACCAGTGGGGAAGTGGAGGCTCTGGAAATGACCCTTGTCCACTGTTGTAACCAGTGGGTGGTGGAGCCAGGACATGAACCAGGCCTATATCTGTCTGTCTGTCTCTGTCTTGTTGCTGAGGATGGAACCCAGGGCCTCACACTACCAGGCTGCTCCTCAGYACTGAGACCCTGGGGGCTCATGGCCAGGGAACATTCTCCACCCCTTGGTAGGCAGTGACAGAACTTCAGCCTGCCATGCTGTTCCTAGCCTGTGGGGACTGGGTGTAGCCTAACCCTCAGTTTCCTTCAGCAGGAAATGATGAAGTTCAGTGGAGGGTCTCTACCCAGCATGGTTGTGTTGCACTGTCCCATCACCAAGGGATAGGGGATTTTCTCTTCCTGCTTCCCAGCAGGTGTGATCTATTCCCTGGAGTCTGGGGCCCAAGTCCCAGAGCTGCCAGAAGGAAGCTGGTCTATCCCTTCTATGATTGGCTCCTAGGGCTTGCACTGTGCAGYTCCAGGGACCATCCTTCACACTATAGTCTAAATGAATGGAGCTTGTACAGTGCCCAGCGTACAGGGGTGTGTGCTGGGTCTTGTTTCCCAGCCACTCCCCCATGGCCATCTCTTCTCTTGTCTTGGACCTTCCCAGGACCAGTCTTCTGGCCAGGTTCCCAGGAACTCTAGAGGAGCTGGAGAAGCCGCTAGTGTCTGCTACCTGTAACTTCCAGAAGCACTTGCTCCAGGGCTTGCAGCATGATGTGCAGGTGAATGGGACAGCCCTTTCCTTCCTACTTGCCATAGCCAGTAGGTGCCACCTATTCCATGGAGTCTGGGTCCATGTCCCAGCATTCATTTGAAACCCCAGGGGCAGTTTCAGGGCCCTGTGTTTTGGGGATGGGCAGGGCCCTGATGAGCTTCCAACTGAGCAGCGATACTTGGGAAACTCGCCCCTTCTGTTGACCTCTAAGAGGTCAGGATAGTGGGTCCAAGGAATCAGGCCTGGACCCTTCACCCTGACCCTCAAGTTGTCCCTAGGCACACCCTAAGCAGGATGGTCACTAAAATTCAAACCCTGCCACTGGAGCTTCTGCCTGGAGGAGGCATTCTGGGAAAGGCCCAGTGACACAATGGGTGGCTAGGAGACGGGTGGCACAGGGAATCCAGCAGAGAAGGAGGTCAGGGATGGTGCATTGGGCTCACTCCCATACCCCTCTGTTCCCAGCCACTCTTCGGGGCCCTGAGCACCAAGAGCTGGCTGACACAGGACACACTGCATCCCATCATGGACAAGGTGGTGGCCTTTGCCCACCACCTCAAGCATGTAACCCCAACACTGGCAAAGGTACTTGGAGGGGGAGGGCCCTGCAGGGTGCCCAGGGGCTGGRGTTGTTGACCCTGACCCTGTCCATGCCTGCCCAGGAGACTCTGCAGGAGGTGCACCGTTACATTGTCCGGGAGTACCTGGCACAGGCATTGAGGCCCCGTGAGCGGTTTCGGGGCATGGAACGTGTGAATGGCTCCCAGAAGATGAATCTGGATGCCCAGGCAATCAGTGACACCTTCCAGGGCCTGGTAGGAGCAGCATTCAGCCACCAGGCCCTCCACTAGCGCCTTCTATTATTTCTATTCTGCACTACAGAGAATCAGGTTGGGATTGGGGGAAGGGGCCTAGCACTCAGCTGGCCTTGGGCAGCAAAAGTTCTCCTCTGCATGCTCTATCAGGAGGGAGGGTGGCTGGGTGTTTGGGATCAGCGGGGCAGCTGAAGGGGACACTTTGCATACATGTGCAGTTACCTGGACTTTAAGGGAAGGAGCAAGGGTTGCAGCCCTATCTGATGGGCAAAGCCTCCTGGAGGCCCCTAGGCACTACAGACACTCCTAGGAGCCCTGGGAGCCCAGGCAGCCCCTGCTCCCAACGCACCCTTTATCTGGGTTGCTGATCCCTCACTCACAATAGTTCCTGGCACCACTTCCCGGTTGGGGCCTCAGTCTTCCCATCTGGGCAGAGACGGGAAAACACGTGTACTGGAGGTAGGCAGGAAGACGAATACTGTGTTGCAGATGCGACTTCAGTGCCCAGYTCTGGGTCCCTTCCAGCTGTGGGAAGGGACATGAGGCAGTCACATGGGGGACTGCTGCCAGGCGGTTGCAGGGCTAGCGGTGCACTAAAGGAGAGGCTGCAGGCAGGGGCTCCTGGTGGCCGGGCCCACACATATTTTCCTGTCTGGAAAGGGCTCTGAAGCCACATGGCTTAACCAAGCCATCCCTTGCGTGGCGGAGATCCTGGGTGAGAGTTACAAAGATGACATCGGACGGCACCTGGAGACACTCATCCAGAGCTATCCCGACATCAGGTTCGTAGCCCACCTGCGCCCCAAATAGGTTCCGAAGGAGAGCCGGGGAACTCGAAGCTTGACATTTGCTCCCTCTCAAGAGTCTAGGTGACAGGGCTGGGGATATAGCTCAGTTAGTGGAGTGCCTGCCTTGCACGCACAAAGCCCTGGGTTCAATCCCCAGAAACACACACACACACACACACACACACACACACACACACACACGGGTCTAGGTGGCAGTGGGTGGGCTGGTAACCAGCGGAGGGTGGAACTTGAACCCAGCGTGGACCTGCGGACCTGTATGCGCAAGTGTGTGAGGACCGCATCCAGGGAGGCGCCTCTGACCCCGGGCCCTGGAACCAAGACGAGCCCTTCCGTGTATTCTCGACCCGAGTTCCGGTCAGTCTCAGGGCGCGATCACTCTCAGGGGCGGGGGTCATGCCTCCGCCTCCCGCGATCCCCAGCCCGGAACAAGCCCCCTCTGAATGCCCCAGACTTCGATGGGCCAGAGGAAGAAGGCTTTGCTGCAGGGGTGGGGGCGGGGAACTGTGAGTCATCGGAGCCTATGGAAATCCCGGTTCAGCGCACTCGGTGGCTTTGGAGATTCCAGGATGGGGAGGCTGCTGAAAGTCCCTGGCCCAGCCTCGTTCCTGGGTCAKGGCTACTGTTCCCGGTTGGAGTGACTGCCACATTACATCGATCCGGGGTTTCCCTCCAGCCCCTTCTCGCTGCATCCTCCTTACCTGCTGGGGGCAGTTCTGAGAGCCCCTCACTGTGATCTCGTGGGAGGGGGCAACTCAGCGATGTCTTTGGGCGGGAGTCTTCTGCCTCCACGGCCCCTCGCTCCTTGCTGCTGGCAGCGTGGACACCTTTCCCAGACCCGAGGTCTCCTGGCCCGAACCCTACCTCCCACACTGCAKCCCATTGCCCCCTCCCTCCCTCACCACCAGCACCTTTTCTTGGACTGGTCTCCGGACTCCCTCGCTTTGCGCAGGGCCTTTCCTCCCCGGCGCGCCTGTTCCTGGCCCCTCCAGGCCCAGGTACGGTGCTCCTGCCCCCAGTCCCATGCTTCCACTTCCCTCCGGAGCCCCCTCCTCCTGTCCTGGGTCAGTCCTGGCCTCTCTGATGAGCTTCAGGAATGCTGAGTGATTCATGCTTCCTCCCCGGCCCAGGGGTTCCGTCAATTTCCGGTTGTTGGAGTGTCAAGGGGTGCAACTCTGCAATGAGGGCCCTTGTGTTTCTGCAGGCAAAACCACATACTGGCCATTCTGGCACTGCGCAGACTGCGCCGCCGTCGGAACCAGAGCCTCCTGCAGCATGCCCAGGACCTGCTGAGGGCTGTGGGCTCAGGAACCGCTCAGGACCGCGTGCTCTTCGCAGAGATCGAGTTGTCTACTTTTAGGATCCAGCTGATCACTTGCATCCAGGGCTCCCTGGCTTGAGGGGGTCGTCAGGGCGTGGCACTTAGCTCCAGGCTAGGATTCAGGCGGTCATTAGGTCATTAGGCCCTGCCTCCAACTCTGAGGCCCAGAGTCATGGAATCTTTGTCCTCAGGCATGCTTGGCTGCTCAGCAGGAGGCAAAGATGAAGATATTTCAGACATTTGTGGGGGAGAATATTGGAGTAGCAGAAGATCTCTTTACTGCAGCTGACCAGGAAGAGCTGCTCTGGTAACTATCCAGCACCAGCACCACCCCAGTCTGAAAGTGCAGAATGGAGTATTTATTCTAAAAATAAATGTGAATTAAAATGGTGCCTCTCTACTGAGGGGGCAGGGCCAAGCTGATTGGGAGTGGGAGACCTAGACCCATGCACTCAGGGCCATGCTGGAAGGCTCCTTTTGGTGGGTGACCCTTTGCTACCTATCATATCAACAGAGAGACTGAGGCAGGCCCAGAACTGGGAAGGTGCCTGCCTGTGCTACAGGAAAAACGGGCCTCGACTTTGGGACTCTGGGTCCATTTGTCTCACTAAGTTGGCCTTGCCCTGTGGGGATGGGCACTGTTCTGCCTCATCCTAGGCAGGACTAGGCTCCTGGGGGACAGGAACAGGCCAAGGCTTGTGGCTTGAAATATTTGGGTTACATGTGGCAGGGACTTTCCAGTAATGAAAGTTGTCAGGTTACTCTAGGGGGAGTGCTGCCTCTTGAGTGTATGTCTGGGGGCATGATCTGCAGGTGTCAGCATCGGGAGAGCTTCCAGGAGAAGCTGCAGAGTGCCCTTGTGCGTGCCCCTTCTCTCTGGAATTTGCCTGCACTCTGAGAGCCAGGCTGCCAGAGAACCTGCTGGCATTAGCAGCTGAGGCTTTCCGGGAAGGTTGAGAGCTAAGAGGAAGCTGAGACAAGCTACCTTAGATGCCCCTCCTCACAGCTCAGAGCCAGAACCTGACCTAGACCCTGGCTGGAGTTGGGCCAAGTAACTGAGGGTGGGCCAACGTCCCAACAATGAATTTTTATCTYGCGAGGGCTTAGGTACAAGGTGAGTGGGGGATGCATCTCTCCCAGCCTGCCCTGGCCCCTCCCTGCTCTCTGGACAGCTAGGGGGCAGTGCCCAGGGATATTTGCACTGGGACACAGAGCCAGGTCTGAGTCAGCTGGGGACCTGGGGCAAGTGGGCTGAGTGCCTTCAGCTTTTGGCCACCTCTGGGAACAGTTGCCAGAAGCAGTCCCTGCTCCCCCATGGATGCACCAGGGCTTGAAGCCAGAGGCAGAGCAGGCCAGGCAAGGGACTATCCAGACCTCCCTGGGTAGGGTGGGGTGGGATCAGGCAGGGCAGGAATGAGGAAGTAAGGTGATGTTGGGGTTCCCAGGCTTCAGGTCTGGGTGGGGGCAGGGACTGTGAGTGCTCATGATGTCAGGCAGTACCTGAGCTGGTAGAGAAACAGGCTGGCAGTGGGGCAAGTGGTCTTGGGTCTGCATAACCCAGGGTTCAGAATGTGAGAAAGGATCTGCCCTAACGGAGGGCTCTAAGGGAAGAATACTGGCCAGTTTTTCCCCCTGCCTGACCCCGCATGTACCCCCAGCAGCCACCAGTGTCCTGCTGGGGGAGTGGCCGACAGGGTTCAGAGGAGGGTAATAGGCAATCTGGCCCAGTGCAGTGGCACACTCCTATAATCCCAGCGACTGGAGAGGCTAAGGCAGGAGGATTGCAAGTTCAAGGTCTGCCTGAGCAACTTAATGAAACCCCCGTCTCAAGATAAAATGAAAAGTGCTGGGGGTATAGCTCAGTGGTTGAGCACTCCTGGGTTCAATCCCCAGTGTGGGCGTGGGGGTGGGAGAGGAAGCCTTATCTGACCAGGTTCTCCCCAGAGAGGTCCTGCTACCCCAGCCTACCTTTGAAGCCCAAGCTATTCACTGAGCTCCTGTAGCCCCTGACTCTGACCCTGACCCTAACTGGCTTGACCCTGCCTGAGCCTTTGGCTGAAGGTGATGTTCCAGGGCCTGACCAGGCTTCCAACCCAGGCTATGAAGACGTGGGAAGGCTTTGGTCTTGACTGCTAATTCTCAGTGGTGAGGAGTTGGCAACTTTCTGTTTTGTTTGTTTGTTTTGATGCTGGGGATTGAACCCAGGCCCTTGCCCATGCTAAGTACAGGATCCACCACTGAGTGGCACCCCAGTCCCTAGGCAAGTTCCTTTCCCTCTCTGTGCCCAATTTTTCCATCTGTGAAAAGGGCTGGGGAGGATGAAGAACCAGCACAAATACAGGCCCCTGGCCTCCCTCTGACCCATGTCCCAGGAGCCCCACCAGGTGAGGGCCTACAAAAGTCAAAGGTCCCTGGATGTGGGAGTGGAGGACCCTTAGTGTCAAGCAAAGCATGAAGTTGGGGAGGCCCCTGAAGGTGACTCAGAAGAGGCTTCCAGGGATGATCAGGTTCTGCCTGACCAGAGCTTTGTAATGCAGGCACGGATTTAGGCATAGACCCTCTCAGAACCTCAGGGTCCTCTTCCTGAGGATTTCTAGATCTAGAGATAGGAAGTCAGGGGTTTGCCCCTCTGTGTTCAGAACATCAGAGTGATCCCCACTCTCCACCCATGTGCACACTCTCATGAGTCTGGCAGTGATCAGGGGCTGGGGCTCAGCTCCTCAAGGCCCAGCCAGAAGCAGGAGGCCGATGGCAGTTTCCACAAGGGTGCAGTCAGTGGGGCTGGATCCGTGGGTTGGGGGAGCCTAGACTGGTTCAGGTCCAGGGCTCTGGCCACTGGCCTTTCTGCCTAGAAGGTGGGGGCTACTTGGGATCCTCCTATTCCCTTTGCCTTCTAGGTCTCATGAGGCCTTGAGAAGAGTCTAGGGTGTTCCCTTGGCCATCCTGTTGTCCAGAGAGGAGAGGAGGGCGGGGGTGCTGGCTCTAAGAGCTGCTTCTGGACTTTTTGGCTACTTGTCTGGCTGGGCCCCCAGGGACAGAAGGCTCTTGTCCTGCTTCCTTGCTTCTGTCATGGAATAGGACAGCCTGAGACCATCCACTTTGCCTGTAGGCTCAAATCCCAGGCTCTGCCAGCTGTTCCCTGGTCTCCYGCCTCTACCTGGCCCTACTTCCCCACAGTGTGGCCTATGGCTCGTCTCTCTTCAGGGCCCAGCCTGGCTTCCACCATGGACACCCATTTCCTGGAGTCCTTCATGCACTGGGGATTGATTGCCTCTGGTCTCCGTCACGGAGTCCCAGGTCCTTGAGACCAAACCTATTCTGAGTTTTCTGGGCTCCAAGCCAGGCCAGGCTGGGAGAGAAGTGAGAAGTTGCAGGGACCCCACGTCGCCATGCACAGGACAGGAGCTCAGGTCTGTAGGTTGGTACACTGTGTGTGCTGCTGGCTCAAGGACATTGGGTATGGTGGGAGCAGGGGACTTGAACATTCACACCAGCTCAGACTAGAACCTAGTAGCCTCTGTGACCCTCTGCCCCTCCTGGTCCCTAGGCTCAGGCTCAGCCCAGGCTTGAGTGTGCCAACTGCAAAAGCCTAGAAGGCTGGGGTCTGGGGACTGTGATGGAGTCTCAGCTCTGCTCTCCCCTCACTGGTAACCTGTGGTCCCTTCACTCTGGGGCTCAGACTCCTTGTCTATAACAAAGGAGAGAGTAYCCAGGAGGGAGGGAGCACGGGGGTGAGTGAGACTATCCACACATGGCATGCTTCAGGTGGTAGTCAGCATGTCACTGGTGACCACAGCCTCTCCCTCTTCCTTCCTTGCTTGGTGACCTGSCTCCTTCCTTCCTGATCTCAGTCCTCAGAAGTCCTCTGTATGTGGGGGCAGCACCCTCAGCAGCTGGGCAGGGGTCCCTATGGAGCCCCTCACCACTGCCCAGGTTGGGACAGGAGGCTGCAGGGTCCTCAAGACTACCTTGCATCACCAGTCTCACTTTCTTCCTTTGCTACCACAAAAATCCCCTTTGGGAATGGCAGCAGGCCACAGGGGCCACCCACCATCCATCACCAGGCCCCGGGGAGGACAGGCTGTACAGGGACAGACCTCTCCTCCACCAGCCTCTGTGGAAGGTGGGCAGGGCCTGCTGTGATAGATAATGCTGTTGCCGAGGGTGATTCCACCGAGCTCTAGGTCTTGGGGATCGGCCTTGTCTAGTAGAGGGGCTATGCTGGGAGCCAGGAGCCTCTGGCCAGCGGCTTGGTCTCTTGGGTCTCCTGCTGTCYGAAAACACTTGAAGGGAAGTGAAACTTGGACATGTCACACCTCCCCATCAGTCTATCCTTCTGCTGGGGCTTGTGGGGCCTGGATTAGTCACTGCAGAGGCCCTTCCTCCTGGCAGGGACACCCTTCTATATATCTGCACACAGATCACCCACTTATTAGCTGTTTTAAAATTACTTGTGTTTTCATTTTTCACCTTTAATAATGTTTTGGATAGTAATGCATTTACATAGATCAAAATCAAAAACGTTCTTCAAAGACATAAGGTGAAAGTCTCCTTCCCATCCTTTCACCTTCGTAAAAGCAATTCTTACCCAAGGAATATATATGAAAAGCGAAGTTACTGGCACCATTGGAGAACCTGGTTTTCCTGAAGGGGGTTGGAGTGGGAATATGGGACAGTTCTTCCTGATCCCTGTAAAATCAGCCAGTGAGCCTAAGGCTCTGAGGTGAATAGAATCCCCAACAATAGGACCTCTKGATGTTGGCAAGGAGAAATTTCAAGAGCTTTTCTTCTTTCTGGGGTGCCTGCCATCTGCAGCTGTGCTCAATGATGATGTGGTACAGCTAGGATTCCAGCCAAGCTGCTGAACCCAGAAGTACCACATTCTGGAGGAGGGCCTGGTGCTGAAGGCTGTGCCCTTTATGCCCAGTGGTTGCTATTTCTGTCTCTTTTAATCCATTCCTTCAACCCTCCCTGCAGCCTGTGGGAGTTTGGGACAGCCTCCCTCCCCTCCCGTCTTTGCCCAGCCCCATGAAGCGCTGGGATTCCCGGGGGAGCTCCTGTCCAGTGATGAGCCTGTGTCATTGGGAGGACGCCCTAGTGAACTGAGCTCATGGGTTGTTTTCCTGGAAATCACATCGGCTGGGGGAAGAGCTCATGTGCAGCTGGCCCTGGGCAGCCCTGGGCAGCCCTAGGCGGCCCCCGGCAGCCCCAGGAGCTAAAGGGAAGGAAGCTGACCTTGGCATCTTGTATCACTACCAGAGCCCTTTTGAAAAGATGGGGGACTGCATGGGGGAACCTAGGGGCGAGACAGCCCAGCTTGGGGAGGACCA